TACAAACTGTACGGCACAACTCAATGCTCTGATCTGACGGACGTTCGTTCACCTGGGTCTTTTATTAAATCCGATACACCTCACACATCGATGCTTCTCGAACTGCGTGTTCATCGAGCTCACGCAGCATGGGACGGGGACCCTGAGGCGAGACTTAACCACTTAGGCAGAAAAATATGCATTGTACAGGATTTGTTTAATAATCTTAAATGGTGATAAAAGATAATAATCTTGGCTTGATTCGGGTCCTCAACAATATTATGATGTCCAAAATGGCATTTTATTATCATTTTTATAGTCAAAGCGATCTTTACCCTTCTGAGTTATATTTTCCTTCGGAATTTTCTAAAAAGATTTAAGTCGGGGGATCCGTAAACCCATCAATGGTCTGAGTGGAAAGAACAATGCGCGCGAGCTGTTCAATACCCGTGGGACGCCGGCATTTGGCCGTGTTCTGATGCAGATGGGCACGTGACAGTACTTTATCAGGATGGGCTAGGTAACTGTATCGTTATACCAATGAAGAACTGTCATACGTCCTCTTTCAATTAGGTATTCCAGAAATGTAAATCACACATTTCTTCTTTAACGAACGATGGTACTGTATTTCTTTGCCAAAATTAAATGATGTCTGTATTATCGTATTCTGTTCTTGCACAGTCAATTGTGTTTTCGTGAGTTCATGAATTCGCGAATTCGTGATTGAGTTTGTGAGTGAGTTAATGAACGTTGGTCAAACCACAATCAGCAGTTTATTCCATGGTTAATGATGGTTACTTATGTACATATTGTTGAAAGATAATATTGACATGTCTCTATGAGGAGGTAATGTCGCTTTAATCAACATTTCTGTTATATCGTGGTGTTTCATGTTTGATGCATCTTCCCGAGGCAAGGGAGTTAACTGACTATTAAAGTGGAAACTGGACATATGAAGTCAGTTAACTCCCTTGCCTCGGAAGATGATGTTGATGTGGAAGTCCATAGTAGTCGTTCAACAACTTGCTCAAGCACTCCCTGGTATTGTTCTGACGAACCAACCGCCTCCGTGGTCAAGTGGTAGAGCGTCCGCCCGGAGAGCGGAAGGTCCGGGGTTCGATCCCCGACCGCGTCATACCAAAATACGTTAAAAGATGGTACTTGTTGTTACCCTGTCTGGCGCTCGGCATTAAGGGGCTAAAACAAGGACTGGTCGGCTCGGAGTCAGTATACTGTGTCTGAGTGGGGTATTCATGTTTAACTGCGGCATGGTATCTCAGTGAGCTAGCACTATAAATCGGCATCAGTCCGGACTAGTACAAGCAGCCACACAAACACACACACGTACATGCACGTGGCTATATAAATGCAATAATCTTGGACGCGACGTCAAACCCCATTTCACCTCTGACGAACCAAGAAATATATTCAAGGTTAATCTGAACCCACGATCATAGGATTCTGGCATACCCTAGGAGCGCAATTCTGCAGTGCGGATAACGATGCCGGAGACGCCTGGTGAAATCCACGAGCATGTCTGTGGAGAAAACAACCAAGG